GCATAGAACACATTATCTAAATGTTAAAACCGTGAATTTGAAACCCACTGAATATGTCTGAAATGCTGAATCAGTGAAATTTAAAACCAGTGAAAATTAGTCATTTTAAAGTACGAGAATAATTCTCAGTGATGAAGAAAATTTGTCGTTTATACTCACAAACAAGTGTTTAATATAATTCATTTTTTTTCTCAGGTGACCATTTATTCCTGGCTGTCAAAAAACAGGCTGGTATCCTGCAACGATACGAGCATTTCCCTATTGCCGATCTACTATCATCGGAGTGTCCGGCTGGTGATGATGGTATTTATAAGTTGCCTGATGGTTATAGCCAAGATGAGAAGGACAAGATGTTGTTGTTTGATAGTGACCACAAAGTGAGTATCATAAATATACGAAAATATTGTGTCTTATAAATATTTATGTAATATTCTTAAGTTTTACAAGTTTATGTATTGTAGAGGGTGGTGTGCAGTGTAGTATCCAGCCCATTCAAATTTTACATATACATCACACATTGTATAGAACATATGCATTGCACACTTTTCAGATCAATTTCAGAATGACAAATATTGTGTTTCAAAGAATGCAATTCCGAATCCGGCATACACATGTACGTGGTCATATTAAGTTCAAAATGCACATCAATATCAGACATATAAAACCAGAATTTGTTTCATCATGACTCCATCATGCTACCATTGACAGTTCAGAAAATCAGGAAAATACGTTTTCCATTGTTACACAGTGCAGTTGGTCACAATGTAATTCGTAGCATCTTCATATCCTTGCATACTTTTGTAAGATATCTCTGGGAGTCAGCACTGCAGTGTATGTCTACTCAACTTGTGAACAACATAGGCTAACAGACTCACAAACAACTTGTTATGAAATCACACCCCCTATTCTGTGATACGAAATACTCAGTACCTAGCATTCATGGAACTCACCTGGGGAACTTGAAACTTGCTTATAACCTTATTTTCTTTTATCGTTGTCACAGGTTTGGGGAGTTATTATTGTTCATACACGAAAGTCACGTTCGAGCACTCACACACAATAAGCACACTGTGGTACATTATATCATATTTATATACATAAAGCAAGAAAACAAAATTAACATACATAATGGTTATATTTCTGAATTATGGATTCAATATGCATATTGTTCATTTAAATACAATTGTACTCTCACACTCTACAGCCGTCTGGCTTTAGAAATAATTGCCCAAAGAACGTCACATTAATTATCAGTACTAAGTTCTTCCCACATTGCAAACCAAATTAATATGTACGAATTCAATAATTACCCGGCCGGCCACGCTATCGTAACCAACAACTGATCATGCGTTATTTTACAATTACATAAATACAATTTACAATAAAATTACACAGAAACGCTATACACCACCACATACGGCTCAACACTGGACGGTCAATGTGCGTGGTCCCACACAGTTAGCGACAACTAGTGCGACGTAAACAGCTGTGTCTCTCTCTCTCTCTCCAACGTTTCCTGTATTGACCTTGCTAATATCAACTGCAGATATTTGCTCGTCACGTGCGTACATTCGCCATACAGTAGTTGATCTAGAGAAATGTAGACCCGACAGCAAGTTCCAATCTGAACCCCAGCATCTACAGCGTGCCCCAGTAAATCCTGCAGAAACTTGACACTACGAAGTTTCGACCACTCAGTGCGCCGACCACCACACCTCAGCTAGGTTGTTTGTCAGTTACAACACAATGCGTTTCACACGACTTGCACAGGCTTCAGTTCATAACTTGATAACTGCCTGCATCGCATGGCTATGATGGCAAACCACTACCTGCTGCACATGATATTTAGTGTGCTCACTCGTCGCTGGTCCCCTGGCAAGTGACTAGCCAAAAGTCCGTCTTTCCTGTCTCGATGTACGAGCCCAGGTGGCCATTTGCTCAGCCAATCAAATTACATTACTACTCCACCAGGTGCTATTTAACTTAGCACAAGAACGACTGCCACCAAAATGTGACAATCGTCTGCTTTGGTAGATGTACATAATGAGTGATTGACTTGAAAGTATATTATACATCCCAAAAATCGGTAACTTAATGGGTAATCAAACTTAATTGTTAATTTTGTTACTGCTGCTCGTATTAAATTGATCAGTCGTTAATTGGTATAATTTGTTTTACACATCTGTAGGAAAGTAGGAAACTATCTGCCCATGCTTTGATTGGTGATATCAAATCACCAAGTGGTAGATATTTCAGAATCAGTCCACTTTTGATAGAATGCTATCAATCTATTGTGACTCGGGAAAACAAGGACAGAAAGGAAAACGGTAAGATAATTTCTTTCTTGGTACTTACTGTAAAAATCATAATTGAGGCCGCAGCTCTAATAGAAGCCGGAACCCTAACGTGAGACATTGTTTCTTGTTAGTTGTTTTCGAATAATAAACTGAGCATTGAAGAAGAATTTATCACTTTTTTACAATGATAACAGCTTATTGTTGAAACAAGGTTTACCCATTCAAACACCAGCAATAAACATCGTACTCTTGAATAGACGTCAATGACTACGGGAAAATCTACATTAGACTCTAATCTAGGCATCAACGAAAAATTACGCCATTCAACTTTGGAAATTCATGAGGTACTTTGTGGGAAAAGTAATGACAGATTAGCTGCACAATATGAATTTGATTGTACCTCCTAAATTAAACTAGATTTGTAAACGTTAGACTCTCTTTGAGCAGGAGGCTTCGTTTATTTTTGAAAGTCGGTTACAATAAGTTGTTTCACATCAGGAAATAAGGCTGGCCTTAGGTTAAAATTTTGTTGTGTAAACAAAAACCTTAAGTCATGACTGGTAAAGGTGCCAGGGCTGACCCTAATTTCAACCTTCAAATTACAGTATGAAACAAGCACCAGAGTATGTAATTACCAGGATGTTTACTTTTAATATATCATATTTCATTTGCCAAAACAGTATCATTTGAACACATTTTTATCATAAATTTGAATGAGTGATTGTCCGTACGCGTCCGTGTCATCTTTTTAGCTTTGCTGTCAACTGGAGCTTATCATATGAGTGATTGTAAGTCGTCGTCCGTGCCAATGTTTCACTTTTTCGACTTCTTGAAAACTACAGGCCTGAATGCTTTGATACTTGGTGTATATGTACCTTGGGTAGATCTCTCTTAGATTTGTTCATTTTGTGATGATATCTTCGATTTTCTAATTGACTCCCGTGTGCGAAGCACAAAAGGGAGTCTTTGCAGTTACCCTGTCTGTATGTCTGTATGTCTGTATGTATGTATGTATGTCACTTTTTTTGTTCCATTTTGGTGAAACTTGGTACATAGATGCTCTGGGATAATGCGCAGAGTTGATTAGGTTTTGGTAAAAATCTATGAATATTAATTACCTAATTTGCATGATAATTAGCTGATTTTTAGCTGTTCCAAGACTGTTCCACTGATATCTGAAGAACCACTCATTTGATTTTGATGAAATTTGGCACATGGATGCTCTGAACTAGTGCGCAGATTTGATTAGTTTTGGGTAAAAATCTATGAATATTAATTACCTAATTTGCATGATAATTAACTGATTTTAAGCTGTTCTATGACTGTTCCACTGATTTTTGAAGAACCACTCATTGGATTTCAATGAAACTTGGCACATGGATGCTCTGAACTAATGCGCAGATTTGATTATTTTTGGGTAAAAATCTGTTAATATTATTAATTACCTAATTTACATACCGTAAAAACTCAATCAATTCGGCCATGTAAAACTAAATATTTTTGGGGGTGGGCCAATTGATTGAATAAATATAGAAAATATGTTTCCGAAGTGGTCGATTTGTTTGAATAATTTTTCAACGTTTTAAAACTGGGTTCGAAGTA